AAAATTGTGAAAAAAATGTGAAAAAAATGTGAAAAAATTGTGAAAAAAATGTGAAAAAATTGTGACCAGAAATGTGACTGGATTTGGGGCCGCCCCAGAAATGTGACCGGAAATGTGACCGAAAATGTGACGGGAAATGTCCAGTCAGGTCGCAAGGCCGCCGCCCCACTCTCCCGCCCCACCCTCCTGTCCCAGCCAGCCGGAAACTGCCGCGGAGCAAGGAGGGAAGCACCAGTGGTCCGTAGCCTTTTTTGGGCATTACATCACCGCAAAAGCAGGTGCATTTTGCTGCTTTTTACCACCCCCCGCCCCGCCCACCTTCCCCCCACCCCCACCGCCCCCCCACCCCCCCCACACCCCCCACCCCACCACACCCACACCCCCACACCACCACACCCCCACCACACCCCCACCACACCCCCGCCACACCTCCACCACACCCCCCACCACCAGCCGCAACATGCACCTTTTTTTGTGGAGATGGTGCACTTTGCTGCTTTTGCCACCACCCGCACCACCCCCACCACCACACCCTCCCTCCCTTCCCGGCTCGGGTGTGGTTTGTGGGGGGTGCGGCAGCAGTTAGGGGCGGGCCCCCGACCCAAAACTGGAATTGGTGGTGGGGTGTGGTGGTGTGGTGCAGTGGTGGGGGGGTGTGGAGGTATTGGAAAAATAAGACGAAAGAATAAGACAGAAATGAGCTTGGTTTTCTGGGGCTTATGCTTGCAACGCTAAGCCCCTCAAAAAAAACTGTGGTGGGGTGGGTGGGGGGTGGAGGGTGGGGAGGGGGAGGGGAACAAAGCCCCCCCACCAACAGACATCATGCACGAACCGAAGGGTGTGTGTGGGTGGGTGGGATGGTGGGTGGGTGGGTGGGTGGGTGGGTGGGTGGGTGGGTGGATTCGGGCAAGTAGTCTTAGTATTAGTAAATTTTAGAAAATAGTAGCCCCAAGATTGGCTGCTGCGACAAAAGCATGAAAGCAAATGAAATCGATATACGATGAACGTATCCATGTATTTGTCTATGAACTGACCTTATGTCTTATGTATAGCTATCTAGCTATCTGTGTATTTTTCGAACTTATGGATTTGTTTAAGTTTAACAATTGAACCTACCTGTTTGAATCTCTTTGAATCTATCTGACTATCTATTTACTATGTGAATGTGTTTCTCGATCAGTCCAGCTCTCTTCTGCAAGCAAAGGAAGAAATCAGGAAGCAGGGGTGTTCTTTCAATTTGAGCTTGGGCAGTCGCAGGTGAAGTCACAGGACCTTGTCCGTGAGCTGAAGGGCACTTCTTGGAAAGCTCAAGCCACCGAGTGGAGTGAGAAGCTCGGTGTACCGGTGACAGTGCAAACGTGGACAGGTCGAAGACAGTTCCAAGGCATTGGCCTGCCGAAAACGGCACGAGTCGAAACACTGCTGAACTTGACTGCTGTTGAGAAGATGCGACAGGCCCAGTCTGCTGCACGGGGCCAGAGCAGAAGTTCCCCAGGTTTGGACTTGCTGGACCACTGTTTCATTGACGTGAGCCAAAATCCGGCTCGCAAGAAGTTCTGGACTGGGGTGCTGCCCTGCTTGTGCACGTCCACCATTTTGTACAGTTTCGGCAGAGACAGATGTTTGCTACCGGTGGAGTATCTCAGATTGCAAGGCTGGGGACTGGATGTTGAGCTCCCACCAGCCTGCACACCCCAGAAAGTGAAGGAAATGGCCGGCCTGGGCATGTCGCTTCCATGCCTGGGAGCCATCATTTGGTCTTTGTACTTGTGCAAGGGCCTGCCGAACAGCTCCGAAGTCTGAGTCCGGACCAGCCTCTTGTTTTTTGCTTGTCAAGGCTGTTAAGGCTTACTGAAGTTTACAGGTCCTCGGTCTTCGTCACTACCTGGTGACCTAGTCCTAGTCCTAGTCCTAGTCCTAGTCCTAGTGCTGGTCATAGTCATATGCTATAGTACTATAGTCACTAGTCATAGTCCTAGTCCTATAGTTCGACAGACCTAGTCGTTAACGTCATGATCGAAATGACTTCGTACCCTAGGGCCCTAGGGCCTAGGATCCACTTAGAACCTAGTGAGCAGTTTAGCAGTTTAGCTGCTTGAAGGCCGCCTTGTCACCACTCCTGGTCACTAGCTGCACTAGCTGTCACTGTCGCTGTCACTAGCTGTCACTAGCTGCCACTAGCTAGAGGTAAGAGTGCTGGGGGCACATGTTGATCTTGAGGCTCCGGATCTAGCGCTGCAGACTTTGCCAGGGAGTCTTGGTTGTGGGGGGCTTTTGATGGCCCTTGTTTTTTGTAAAAAGTTCTAAAGACCCTATGAACCATAAGCCTTGAGCCCCAAGCCCCAAAACCCAAGCCAAAGCTGTAGCCACTAGCCGCCACTAGCCTTAGCAGCGACAGACCCGAGGCCGTTTAGCCGAGTCTAGCAGTCTAGCGGGGTCTAGCCCCAGAGGTTTAAAGCCGAGCCGCCCAGCTCGCACTGGCCGCTGGCCCTCATGACCATCCCAAAGCTACGGTTCCCGACTTCTAGTTTTATAGTTGCTTCGAAACGAGATTGTTTTCACGGCAGTGCATTCCCATGTTCCTGCTTTGTGCGTGGTCTGCAAAGGTTTTATCTTTAAGCCTGTAACTAGAGTCTAACTAGAGCCTGGCTCGACAGTCTAAAGTGTCGTTTTGGGTGGAAGCCAAAGCAAACCAATGGATAGCCTCCAGTAGCCATTGTAGTTACTGTAGTTACGAGTGAGAGGGTGATTTGGCCTAGGTCCACGTAGTTGGGTTCAGCTAGGACCTAGGACCCACGAATCCTGCATTACCTTAAGGACCCTAGACCATGGCAATTATGGTATATTCAATATTCCTTATCATGGGTAATGCAGGAATTATATCATCAACCGTAGGACCTAGCAGCTACACAGACCTAGGACCTAGCGGACCTAGCAGAGCAGCAGAAAGGGAAATTTGATGCATGTGGGCTCAGCTGAGTGGATGTGGGTTGTGTGAGCAGGTCGGAAGTGACAGTCTCACTTGTGTTTGCCTATGACAGCCTATGACTAAATGGACTAAGTGGGTGCCATCTTTGTGAGTGGCCTGCTCGCACGAAGCCATTCATCGAGCCTACAGCCTATGAACACGGCTTTTCGAGTATCATTAGCTGGCTAGCTCGCTGCTGTGAGCGGCCACAAGGAGCAGCAGCTGGCCGCAGTCTTGTCGGGACAGCATGATGTTTGCCAAGGTTAAGTTCAGCGAGGTAAGGTTTTATTGGTAGATGCCTGTCTCTGCATTGTTGTTGTTGTGGTTGCTGCTGTTGCTCTTTTGCTTCCATGTTCTCACATGGGTTGTGAAGAAGCAACCATTGAAGGCCCATTTCCGACGACGTGTAATGACGTGTATTGTAGCTAGTAGCTAGTAACTGGTATTAAGTTTGGTGAAAGAGCTGGGCAAATATCATTTTAGGTGATGAATGTGGTGTGCTATCCTGGCAACTTCGCCTCTGCTTGGACCTTGCTTCAGAACAGGGTGTGCACGTGGCAAGTGCAGATCGCCGCTCGCCTTGGGGACCTCCTAGTGACTCCTGGTGTGTCACTGCATTGTAACGATGTTGAATATTGTGATAGTGGAACCAACAAACCTTGGCCAATTGTAATGTAAGTCTTTGTAGATTGTAGGTCATTGTAGGCCAGTAGGTGGGAGCTGTCCAGCGACGCGTGTGCAGCCGACCACTCCGTGGCAGTCAAGAATTCCAGAGATGTTGCCATATTTGTCATGCACCGGCTAATTCAACTTCCTGTTTGCAAGCAGCCTCCAGCTTGGAACAGGGCAGGGCCAATGCCAACGCTACGTAGTGTAATATAGTCCTCACATTTACTACATCACACTTCTGTGGGTCAGTGCAAAGCCCTGTGGCCCTGGCGTGTGGTTCTCAAGTATAAGTAGGTTAGGCGAGGATGCAGATTTTGCAGGGACACAAACATCGCAGTGTGCAAGTTGGAGGCAGCTACAGCTAGAGCTAGAGCACAGATAGAAGGAACTAGCCAGCTAGTGTCAACGAGAGACTACGGTGACTACGGAGACTTGATTGGCATCTGTGAGCGATCCGTGAGAAAGTAGGTTTGCTTGGTAGTGCCATGTGCCATATGCAGTTCTGTGAGATTGAGTGTCATGCATTGTGCCAAATTTGGCCACAGTTGTGTGTGTGTGTGTCTGTCCTTATCTAGGGCTCCGAAGAGCCTTGGGCCGTTTGCACAGTTTGTGCGTGCTTTGGACAAGCAGACTTACCTTTGCCTGCGGCTCCATGCCGGCTGTTCTCAGCAAGGAGCCTGAACTGCATGTTTTGTCTTATGGATTGCGGGCTGTGGGAGTTGATTCGACATACGCAGTGATTGCCAGCAAGCCCTAGCCCTAGGCCCCTAGGCCCTGCCCTAAACCCGAGGCAGTAATATGGGAAAGAAAGCAGCCCGTTGCAAATGAGTTTGTGCAGGACAAGCGCAAGCAGGAGGGCCAGGAAGCGGCAGCATCCAAAAGGCCTAGGCCAGCTGTGGCATCCCTCCTGTGTGTCATCTGCAAGAAGAACCCCAAGGCCAGGCTTGGGAATGCCGCCTTTGTACATAAGCTTCAACAATAGCCGAGCAACCGAATAGCCGATAGCGGCAAGCCGTTATCAGCAAGCAGCAGTTAGCAGTGGCAGCATAGCAGCATAGCAGATTGGCAATTTCAAGCTGTCGGCATACATGAGTACTGATCATACAAGTTCATAGGTTTGGGCCACCCATGTGCCGCCCCTGCCCCAACCCAGGAGCGGCCCCCCCCCCCAACCGCATCCCGTATAGGAGAAAGAGTGGGCAACGTTCACTGCTCGCGGTGCTCCAGTTGGTGTGTGGTGCTTGGACCACGCTCGGGCAGCCGGGCAACTCTTCCCGCACATGCCCTTGGAAGAGGTCGCCTCCGCGTATCACGATGACACCCCATCCTCGGCATCCACATTCCTGCGGACCATCATCGATGAAGCCGTCACGAATATGAACGACCACAAGCAAGATTACAATTTGCCCGGCAGCATCTTCTCGACGAGCATGCAGGGGACCCGAGTGTCCTACAGCGTGGGATTCATCAGTGAATGTGAACTGGTACGTTTGACGGGACGAACCAGTAAACTGCTCCAGCTGAAACCAGTTTTCTTGACGCTTGAGCAGAGAGGAGTGTCGACTGCCGGATTCCTGATCTCCCTGCGCGGCATCCCGGCTGACGAGCTGGCGAGCATGCGGAAAGTTGAGATCTACAGAGATGTGCAACTGACCTTGCAAGAAGCACATCTCACACCGGACAAGATGATCCACGACAGACATCCATCGTTGTTGGCCGATTATCTGTCCGAGCAGCAGATCGGGAAATATCCCCAAGCCTTCAAATCAAGTGCAGTGCGTAGCAGTCCGCCGACACTAGAGGTGGCTTGGATCAATCCACTGGGGGAACTATTGCGGTGCAGAGTAGTTGCATGTTGTTCGGGGAACACTGTGCTGTGCATTCTTATGTCATCTAGAATTCGAACCAACAGAGGACTTGAGTCGTTCAGCTCTCTGAGGCTCTAAACTTTAGACTCTAAACTCCCTCATAGTAGCTAGCAGCTACCAGTGTCGAAGTTTCACAAGTTCAAACAAAGTGTGTAACAACACACTGCAATATTTCGGATTTCGACTGTGACTGTGAAGCCTTGCCAGGAACTGAAAGCCAAGGGTGACAGGCTTGCCGGCAAGGTCCGGCTCTGAAACATCAATCATTGTGTCTATCTATCGGCTTTCGGAGGGAGGGGTGAGGGCAGCCGGTCGTGTTTTTTTTTGCAGTTCATGCAGGAAGCAGTGCCCGTTCTGGATGACGAAGAGGATGATGATCCGCTCGAGGGCCTGGGCATGGATGCCTCGGATGATGAAGAGATGGAGGGTGTCATCCGACCTCGCCAGGGGGCAGCAGGCATGGCCAGGCCTGTGATGAGTGCGTCTGCGGAAATGGTGCAGGCAAAGCCGAAACCCAAGGCCAAGTGCAGTGCTTCGCAGGCGTCGGCACCAAGCCTTCGTGTCAGGGACAAGTCTCAGCCGACGGTGAAGGTGGAGCAGGTGAAGACGGAGCCGGCGGAGGCCAGTGGTCAGAAGGAGAACAGGAGATCCGGCAGCCCAGTGCCAAGTGTTGCGCCAAGCGCTGCATCCTCAAAGACAAAGGATAAGGATAAGGATGTTCCCCTGCCAGAAGGGGCTGAGCTCGATCAGGAGATGAGCCGTGTGCAGCAGAAACTAGGCCCGCCTTTTCAGCCGTGTCTCCAGTCACTCGTCATCCAGCGGCATTTGGCTGGAGAAAAATTGGGAGTCAGATTGGTCGCGGTACCCGGACTGTGTTCAGATTGTTGTTGTGAGGACTTGTGCCTTTTTCGGCCTAGCCATACGGGTAGGGCCGGGTAGGGCCAGGCAGGGTCTGAGTTTATGTGTCTGTTCAAGTTTGAAAAGCTCGTATGCCACCGTATGCCTATCGTGCAGTGAGTTGCTGTCATGCTTGATTGCATTGGCCATAGCCATAGCCGCCATAGCCATAGCGGCATAGCGAGTTTGAGCTTGGGTATGTCGGGTACAGTATATAGTATACATAGTATATGTAGTATAGGTCCTATAGGTCCTACTCCAACTGTGCCCAGGCAAAGAAGTTGCTTGATCGCTTGAAAGCACCAGGCAGTGGAGGAGCGAGATTGCTCCTTGACAACCGCATCCAGATCTGCGAAAAAGCAGCCCTGTTGGCGGCAGGCACCAAGAAGCTTCAGGACGACGTTCTCCACACGGCAGTGACAGTCGTGTCCCGGGCACACGTGGAGATCCCATTGCCGGTGCGGCTTGACCTGGCTGAGCGCTTCGGCCTGGGCTTGATGAAGGAAGTGCTGGAGGCTTCGAATGGCAAGGACCCCCTGTCTGCCATTGAGAAGCCCGTCGACAAGTTCCTGAAGTTCTTGCTGCCGTGCAAGACGTACAAGCTGAATCAGGATGACGTCATGCGACCGAGGTTTGCCAATCTGATGGCCACCATGGTGGCAACCCACGCAGAGCAGATGGAGGCCTGTGAGCTCACGGAGGAGCTTCAGCTGAAGGAACGGCATGATGATGAGTGGCGTGCGACTGGGCGGCTAAATTGGATTCCACTCGTGAATCTGGCTCTGGGCTCCAGACTCTAGGCCCTAGGCTCTAGTCACTCTAGTCAGTGACTCTAGTGACTTTAGTCTAGTCACTCGACTCCAAAGTGTGACACTTGATGCTTGTATTGTTTCCTCATATACTGAATGGAGGTTTCGGGTTTCTTTTATTATACTGTGCTTATAGTATAGCTTATAGCAGCTATTACATCTATTATAACATAATTGGAAGTTGAAATGGTTGTCTTATGACAATCAGGGCTTCCGTAGTGATGTCGTGAAGCCGTAGTGAAGTGTCCGTGCACTGAACCGTTTGGTTTCCCATGTATTGAATACAGGTTTCTGCTTTTCTATTATATTACTATATGGAGGCTGATACCACACTTAATTGGAGTTTGAAATATTTGTCGTATGAGAATCAGAGATTCCGCGCTGATGAATAATATGTCTTTTTTGGGAATAAGGAATGAATACATAGTCTTGAGTAATGGAATGCCAAGTGGATTAGGTGGAGGTAGACCAGGCAGAGTGCAGGAGGGTTGCAGTGTGGTCAAAGTTGTTACTGAGTTTTATTCCTATCTGGTGTCTAGAGTCAAGGCCACGGCTATGAGCTTGTGCGATTCCTTCTTCAATGATGCGTTCTGCGACTTGCTCACGGCCGGCGAGAAGAAGGCTCCGATTGTCAAGGCCCTGTGCTCCCAGCTCATCAGTCGGGAGTCAGACCTGGACCTGATTGAGTTTGGCTCGCACTACCCGCCGGATCCGGTGGATGACAACCTGAAGCGTGTCTCCCGCGTGTGCCTTTGCCTCACTTCGTTGCTGGATCCCATGGACGATGGCCCAGGCAAGATGGAGCATGTGGCTGCGGTCAAGACCAGCTCCGCCAACGAGCACATGGAGGCCACCGTGAGGACTTTGTTGAACAATGGGGGCTTTTGGTGCTTGTTGGCCGAAGAGCAAGCCAAGAAGGCGGCGACCTCCCACACAGCCAAGCCTCTCCTGACAGAGCTGACCCAGAAGTTGACTGCTGGAGTAGACTCTAGAGTAGACTTGGCCATGGATGATGTGAAGCTGTGCATCGAGAAACTCCCGGAGCTCAGACAGAAGCTCCGTGACGGTGCCACGAGCTGCATCGAGCCGGTCTTGCTGAAGGAGGTGATGAAGCAAGCTTCGTTGTTACTCGTGAAAAGCGAGGAAGACGAGACTGCGGATGTGGCCATCCCCGAGATCTTTGGCCAGCCTGTGAGCCCACAAGGTCTCTCGACATTGATGAATGGGCTGTCGCTTTTCACAAGCGAGAAGGGTGTGCCGGCCATGCTTCACAAGCTGGAGGAGTATCGGAAGAAGAGCAAGACCTCCCTCGGCATTGTGGGCTTCGTGGAGGCACTCCAGGCCCATGCCTTCCGCATGGATGCAAGCGAGGAGGAGATCCAAAGGATTGACGTTGCTGCCATCGGGAAATTGATGGAGGACATGGGCGGCTTACCCTCCCCGCTGCCGGATGAGCTCACCTCGGCGTGCACGTGGGCTTTGCCATCCCTGTTGGCCTGCTTGAAAGCCAGGGCAGCTTGTCATGAAAACTTGTTTCTTTATTACTTTATTACTAGTTACTAGTTACTAGTATTACTAGTACTATAACTGTAATTAGCTGCGATAAGGCTTTGAGGCTCTGATGAACTCTGAAATCTGTCATAGGAGGTTTCGGAAAAACAGCCATGGCAAGCCACATACACATTTCATATACCAGATCTCACGAAATTCAATCAGCAGAGGACCTGAGTCGTTCAGATTTTCGATAAGGCTCCGAGACTTTGAGCTCTCTGATATAAAATGTGTTCCGAGCGCAGCAATCCACATAGACATTTGAAGTATTTTCAGCTCTATGGCTCTATGGCATACTCTATGGCATTCCAATCAAGAGAAGGCCCGAGTCGTTCGGACTTTGACTTATATTTTATATAGACTCGAATCTATTGGGAGCTTGAGGTCGAATCTACTGAGTCTACTGAGTTTACTCTGAGTCTGAGTCAGCACAGTTATTTGATCACTGTCGTCGTGTGGCTCTACGGCTTTACGGTTATATTGATGCTGTAACATAGTCCTGCCGGACTAACTGTTCACTGTTGATATTCGGATACCTAGGGACCTAGGTCCAGATAAGTCATGAGATGTGATCTTGATGGTTGTGTGGTGTTCAGGTCATCAACAACAGGGAGATCACCAAGGCAGAGCTGGGCGTGTTGATGCATGTGGCCAAGTGCAGCGACAACGCTTCGGAGTGGTGGGCCCTACAGGGTACCATTCTGAAGAACACTATCCTCGCCCAGACGGCAGCGTCCCAGTACCAGGCCCTGGGGAACACCGCGGCCGTGCGAGCTTCCCGCGACAGCAAAGGCCAGCGGCTTGAGACCTATTGCAAGGGCATGATCACGTTGATGAGCGACTTGGAGAAGTCAGATGCTTTGGAGTCGCAGATTGCTGCTGACAGCAAGGCCAAGCCGGCAATGGAGTATTGTGCCGTGGCACAGACAAGTCGCCAGGCCTGCTTTCACGAGCAAGGCCGTGCTTGCTTGGAGCAGGGCCTTGCGGCTTTGTTCGAAACCCATCGGGCTGAGACCACCGGCATCCTGTCGGCCCTCGACTCCCACACGATGCAGTACGAGCTGCCGGGCGAGACATCATGGAAGTCGTGGAGCCAGGAGTTGCAGGGAAGATCGCCCGATGACAAGGAGCTGGGTGACTTGGTCATGACGACCGCAGCAGCCACGATTGCGACCCTCAAGGGTGGCTTGATCAACAATGACTTCAAGAACCTGGAGCAGGCTCTTTGTACTGACTCCAGTAACTCTAGTGAGTGACTCTAGTAACTCTAGTACTAGTAGTTAGTAGACTCTAGAGTGCCATGGTCGTGGGTTGAGGTCCTGCAACCTTCGATTGTCTGTGTCACGGTCGTGAAGTGCAGTGTAGCAGTGTAGCCGTGTAGCAGCCAAGGCTGAGCTTGGATTGTAGGCACTACCTCAGTTAGTTCTTTTCTGGGGTCAGTTCACAAACCTTCCTGAAGGTCTGTTGCTGTTCTGCACGTGATATGGCTTGATCGAGTCTACAATAGAGTCAATAGAGTTAAGAGGTTCCGGGTCTTGTGTGCAAGTTTTTACTTAGGCAGCAAAACTAGTAACCGCTGGTAGCTAGTAGAGTAGAGTTTCGACCCCAAAATCCGACAACCCACATACCCGACATAGCCATGGCCCAAACGGTCAGCAAACCAATCTGTCCCAAACCGTCACCTAGACCTCGAGTTTTGTGTGACTGCAGGCTTCCAAGAACTTGGAGAGCTTCCACAGCAAGTTTCAAGCTGTCTTCGACAAGGGCATTTGCACCGGCTCAGTCATGGACGATTGCGTGGCGCTCTCCAGGCAGGCGAAAGTCCGCTCCCAGCAAGTGAGCGTGCTCATGATCGAGTCAGTGTTGAACTTGGGCATCGTGGGCAACAAGGCGGACATCATTGAAGCACAGATTGAGAAGCTGAAGGGCAAGACGAGTTGCGAGAAAGATGTGTGCAAGGTCTTGCTGCACAAAGCACGTGCAGTTCTGGGCAAGTAAGGCGTGGAGACAGCACGCGATGCTCTTTCTTCAGTTCGATTGCTTTGTATAGCATGCTACCATGGCGGGCGACACAGATGGGACTAAGTCATTAAGAGGTCAAGAAGGTTAGCCCTACAATCCTAGAAGTCGCAATGTCAATAGCCGTAGGCCGTAGATTCCCGTAGATGTGGTACTCTATTATGTGCAGTGCGAGTATGATGAGGACAGGTCCCGTGTACGGGTACAACAAGTGATTTAGTGACTTAGTCGTTCAGAGTGTCAGTCCAGCACAGTGCTCAGCCCATTCATTTGAGTCTTTGCATCAAGCTGCTGTCAGTAGTCGCAGTAGTCACAATAGTCAGTAGTTACAGTAGTTTCAGTGGTCAGCATAGCTTGCAGCTTGTTTCGCGAATGACTCGGCTTTCATTCCCATTTCCGGGTGGGGTTGTCTTCCACTCGTGGATGAGGCTGGCTTGGGAGTCTGGCAGATCCAGCCACTGCTAGCGTGGCGGGCGGTCGAACCTTTGGGAAACACTGCATAGCAGCCTACTTTGATGCTTTAACGTCTTCTCCCTGGGCGGGCTGCGTGCAAACATGCAGTCTCGCAGTCTGAGACATCCGTGATGTGAGGGTAGATCGGCGCCGGGGAAACATCAGACCACCAGCTTCAGTACGTTGTTGATGAGAAGATTCGTGCATGTCAAGGTTTATGGGCTTCGCCCTTTCCGCGCCCCTTCGTGGGCCCCTAGGCCTTTACGTTGTCGCGATACAACCCCAAAACAAAAATATTTGGAGTTGAAAAATATTCTGATGATAGACTCATATTTCCATTTATATGTTTGGGCAACCGAGCCGGTAAACCTGACATAGTCTCGATTTTGTAAAGTTTTTTTTGCTTCCAGCGCTAGCCGATAGCCTCGCTGGGTCCTGGAACAAATCTGATTATGATTGAAAAGCAAAGTGCGGCTTTAGGCCTTCATAAGGAATGAAACGAACTAGTGAGCTAATGCTCCACGATGTTTTAGCTCGGGACTCCACGGACTGCCAGACACATATCGCCTTGTAGGCTAGCGGCTAGTACAAATACCGTCAGACCCCCTTTACTGTCATCGGGGTTTAGGGTTTAGGGTTTAGGGGTTTAGGGTTTAGGGTTTAGGGTTATTCAATGTCGGTTGCAACCCATTGAATTTTTCACATTTTTCCACATTTTTTTCACATTTTCTCACAATTTTTCACATTTTTCACATTTT